AAAAAAAAAGAAAAAAAAGTCGTTACATACAGTTGGAGAAAAAGAGGATTTTAATCTCAGCAACATTTCAGAAGAATTTATTAAATGATTTGTAGGATTCTCAGACGCAGAATCTAATTTCACAATAGGCTTATATAAGGATAAAACGAATAAAATTATATCTATAACTTTCAGATTTACGATTGAGTTACATGTTGATGATATGGATGCTTTAAAAACTATAAAAAGTAAATTAAATTTAGGTAATAATATAGCAGTGTATGGTAATAGTTGTAAATTTACGGTTACACATCCAAAAGATCTTTATAAATTAATCGCTATTTTTGATAAATATAACCTAAATACTACAAAGTTTCTAGATTATTTAGATTTTAAAAAAGCTTTTTATTTATATCAGGATAGAGATAAGTCAAAAAAGGAAAAAGAAACCTTCATAGACAAAATTTTAGAATTAAAAAATGGTATGAATAAGACCCGGAATTACTTTGATTTACCTGCAGACCACAAAATAGTAATATCTGGTCATTGATTACTAGGGTTTATAGAGGGGGAAGGTTCATTTTGTTTACTTAGATCCGAGTTTGATACTCTATTTCAAGTTGTACAATCTGAAACACAACTACCTTTAATGCAAAAAATTAAAGAATTTTTAGAAAATAATTTAGGATTTGATAAGTATTCTATGTTTAAATTAAAAAGTTCATCAGCCATAATTATTAGAATAGATAAAGGTTCAAAAATTGGTAAACCAGTAGTTGTACTTGCAATTAAAAATACGAATATCTTAGTTAATTATTTAATACCTTACTTAGAGAACATGCCGTTTATGACTAAAAAAGGTAAAGATTTTTATGATTTTAAAATTTTAAGTACTGCCATATATAATGGTATTCATAGGAGAGAGGAAATAAAATCGTTAATGTTAGAATTATCGTATTCTATGAACAAATACAGATTAACTACAAACACAGACTTAAATAAAACTATTGGTTTATCTAATGAAAACCTAGATAAAATAATAAAAGCAAAACCTACTATTAGACATCTGGAGGATGGTCGCCAATTAGATATGGTAACTGGTAAAGCGGTTAATAGACGTTGAACTAATTGTATTTATGAAATAGTGAAACATTCAGGAGAAATAGTATGAGCGTCTACTTTAAACGACACAGCGGATATTTTAGGTGTAGAATTTAGAACGGTAACAAAACATCTACAATCGGAAGAATTAATGGGACATTACGCCGAAATTAAGGGGCATAGGGTTAGAAGAATTTCTGTGTTCAATCCTTAGTTATACGCTCCTATGTAAGCGAAATTACATAGGGTCCTTATATCAAGTTCTTATTAGGTTATTTTTATTAAACGAGAGATAGTACTAGCAATAAATGGTAAGGTGTGATTACTCATAAAAACCCTTCATTGTATAACGGTTACCCCTCCCTGTTGGGGGTATGATGATAAGCCTTTGGCTACTTGCGTAGCAAAGCTATAAAAAATCCAAAAGAATTAAAAGCATAGGAACTAAAAGAAGGTCCAATCCGCATAGTTCCATCCTTATATGAAATTAGGTGAAAACGGTCAATAATATCCTAATTAAAGACCGTCGGCAGATGGGAATGTCGCTACAGACTGGGTCACCTGGGCTAAGTTGTAATACTTGTTCTAATGTACAGTCGGGTTCTAAAACGAGTGTGATATCGTTAGGAGGAAGGATAATACTTGAAGCTACACACAGCAGTATAATCACAAATACGGTGATAGTAACTCCTGGATAAGATAGTGTTGACTAGACGCTAGCTTAACCTTAATTAGAATTGATCAATCCTATTTTTATTTATATTAATGTTAATAAATGTTAGAATATCTGAACTATTAACAGATAGTATTAATAGTATACCTTTAGCTATATTAGTAGGTAGTTTCTTTAATTACTTTGTTAATAATGTTTTACCATATATGGTAATGACTAATAATTTACTATACCATTTTAGCATTAAAAAAAATTTAACTAATGTTACATCTGTGTCATGAGATGGATATTTAGCAGAAACTTCTCATATAACAAGTATAGGAAATATACTGTATGGTAATTATTCTATATGATTAATAATTACATCCATTATATTATTACTAGCGATGGTTGGGGCAATAGTTATTACTCTAAAGCCACAAACTAATGTAAAATAAAAAAAATTAAAAATGATATTACGTCTTTCCTGTCTTTTTTCTTCCCTCAGCGCTTAAAAAAAAA